GCCCGCCCGCCGCCCCGCGCCCGCTGAAGCGCCCGCCATTGAGCGGCGCGCGCACACCCGCCGTTCGGAGGGCGCCGGGTGCCGTGTGCCGGGCCCGGGCGGTGTGAGGCGGAGCGGAGAGGTAGGGCAGCCCGCAGGCCCGGGCTGAGGCCCTCGGCGGCGGCTGACGGGAGACAGGCAGGGCGGGACGGGGCGGCTGTCCTTCAGCGCCGCATCGGCGGCGGCGGCCTGCTCCCGGTGGTGTCTAAAGGCGAAGTGAGTGCCGTTTGCCGCACAGCCTGTGCATTAGAGCAAGTCGCGCATAAGGGGGGCGGTCAGAATGGTTTAAGGAGAAACAAAACCACTGGGCTGAGCTGGGAAGTGTGGCGTTGCGCCGTCGAGGGACCGGGCAGCCGCGATAAGAGCTGGCGGGCACGGCTGTGCTGCGGGCAACGCCTGCTGCCTGTGACACCTCACCGGCACAGAGCGCCGTCGGAGTCCGGCGATTGGCAGTGCTCAAAAAAATTCATTAGGCCTTTATACACGTAACAAGAACAGGTAGATTTGTAATTGCAGTAATCTAGAACCAGAAGGAATATAAGCCCTCGTGCTTCAGCAGTGGCGGTTAGTAGGAGCTGCGTTCTCAGTTTGAAGTACAGGTTGTTTGGTGGGTGCCTGGCTGGGGGACGGGGACGAAGAAGGATATCCACAGAAGCAGAAACTAAAGAGAGCAAAAAGTGGTACTGGGAGCCAGTGTAGTCACATCTCGTGATCAGTCATGATTGGGCTCGTGGGCAGGACAAGGTTTCCTTGGTTCGGTCCTGTACCTACGGCTGTGGACGCACGCTTTCTGAGCCAGGTGTTCAGCTCATGCTCAGGGCAAAGCTCTTTCTGGTAGGGTTGTTTTGCAACAAGGGCACTGTGGTGTCTGCTTCACGGCTTCCTACATCCCTCAGTGTGTCTACTAATTTTCAGAAATATTCCTGCCTTGAACGGTTAGTACACTAGCATGACTATTACAGGTGAAGACATGGGAGTGAGGGACAAGTAGAAGTAGAAAACTACTTCTCATTGACTTGGTAATTCCTACGAGCTCTGTGCACTGTAAGGTATAAAATTGAAGCTGTTTTCACCTCACTGAATTCAGTATTCAAAAACATTAGTAATTCCTGCGGAGAGACAAGTCAAAAAGGTCTGCATGAAGGCAGAATCTGGTAAAACACACACACAGGCTATTGACAGGAGTTCAGAAAAGTGATGGGAGTGACTTGGCATTGACATGGAAGGAGGAGGACACATCTTCCTCCTCCTGAAATAAGACAGAGGAAGAAAATGCAACAAGTGACTCAAGGAAGCTAAGGATAAGTCTAAATCTAGACTTGCCTTTTTGAAGGCAGCTGCCACACCTTGTATATTTACAACTTGTTGGAAGGTGTCAACATCCAGCAAACCCAAAGGCCTGTCCCAAAGGCAGGTACTTAGTCACCGTGCAAGTGCTGACTTGAAATGACCTCCTACTAAAACAAACTACAGGGTGTGTAAGTATGACTGTAAAAGCAATTGCAACATTGATCCTGTTGTAGGAATTAAATGTTACAAAATGCAGCAGAAGACCTTATGGAAGGGTAAAACGGTATTTATGGAAAACTGATTTCAGTTACTGAGTCATTTTCTCATGCCCCTGTACCCAGAAGCCCCAAAATGCACGTGTTCAAATAGTCCAGCCAGTATCACTTGCTATGACACGAGATTCTAGGAATGCCAGTTGTCAAATCCTCACTACATCCCTTGGGTAGCAGCAAAGCAATTTTCATACAGATTTTCTCTGCCTTTTAGGGGTGAGATATTATGATGTGACTTTTTGTCTCAATCTTGTATTTCATTCTCTGTAAATTTTTGGGAAAGCTCAGTGCCTGTTGTCTTTCTCCCTGCTGAGCTAACAGAGAGGAATGGCCTGTATGACTTACTGTAAACTTGTTGCCATCTTCCTGTTATCAGAAGGAGGATCTTCTGCTGATAAGGCATTTCTGCTGTAGGCCTCTCTGAGCACAGGCCTTTTGGTCTTGATGTGAACACTGCTTTTGTCAGCATTTAAGAGTACGATTGCTCTTATTTGTGTCCTTGATTATCACATTCATGTAATTTTTGTAACCCTTGCCTTATTGATTCTACTCATGATACACACAAACAGGCATTTCCATACTCGATTCAAACCAATCTTAATATTTCTCTTACAAAGCTCTGTGCTGTTCTGGCAGCAGAGGGTATCTTCACACTTCACTAAAAACCCCTCCGTCTTTTTCCTCATGGAAAGCCTGCTAAGCACATAATTGCTATTCCTCCTGCTCTGCAAGACCAGGCTCTTTAGATAACGGTCTTTCAGCTGATGAATACTGTAGTGTATGTTAGTTATTTCTTTTATTGTCTCCTTTTGGAGATCAGGAGCATTCACATGCAAAAATGAAAGTAAATGAAGCTCTTTGCCTTTGCAAGGTTGTTTAAATATGCACAGCAAATTTCTCTTTTCACATTGAATGGCTAAGCCTGTTGTCACTTGCACCAACAAACAGGAGGAACTATGACACTCTTCAGAGTCCCTTAGCATTGCTTTACAGTTGGTGATGCCCTGCTATTAATTGAGTTAGTGTAACTATTTCAAAATGCTGTTTTGGTAGAAGGGCAATCCAGCTCTTTCTCCACAAAGAATGACTTGACAGCAGGGCTTTTGTAGATTAACAGCAATTCTGGAGTATGACCATGTGTAGCCACAGGACAGAATTCTACTACTCATCATCCAAGGTGAATTCAAGAAATAACAGAACCCACTACAAGTCTGAACTGCCAGTAAAATGCCAGCAAGCTTATTATTATACAAAGTACATGCTCTATACTGCTTCCTTCATATGTTTTGTATCCAAAGTTGTCTACAAATGAAAAAGGAACTTGTTACAGTTGAAACTGATGTACTGCGCCTTTTTTACTTCTATATGAGGTGAAAAAAAATCATTATCCATGCTGCAGAGGCAAGTTTGTTATCAATGTAGAGAATTTTTTAAATGTGCATAATCAGTCGTCTAAGAAAATGTTCTTTACTTCTTTCAAAAAACGCCACACTAGGAATAAACTATATTAAACACCAGAAACTACAATATCAGTAACATTATCTTTGTTTATGACTCCTTGAGGGCTTACGCTGGCAACTTGACAAAAACCTTGAATTGGATGTAAGTTTTCACACTGGTTATTTAAAAGAAACAATCCTTTCTAGAAATCTAATATTTGCTTAAACATCTTTTATTTGATTGAACAGAATTCTCTGTTTGCTTCTGATCCTTGCCATTTAAGTACTGTTTGTATTGGCTCAAATACCCCCAAACATGACTGTGCTGAGCTAGACAGACTAGTAGAAAAACAGCAAGTTTCAAAGCAAGATGTGAAGACAACCAAAGTGTTGGCACAGATCTACACTGTAGGCAGAAGCCCATGTCAGCACTTTCCCCATTGTCAGTGTGTTTCATTCGGGAATTTATTTCATTCAGTGTGTTTCATTCAGGAATTTATCAAGTTCAGAATACGTTAATACCATCATCAGCCATGTCTTTCAGAAATTTGCTATTTTAACTTTACCACTTCACAAGATTTTACCAGCCATCCTAATTTGGGATTTGAATTTGAGTACAAATTGTCCTTGAGACCCAGAATCCAACCCTAATGAAAATGAGAATGAGAATATGGACACTTGCTAAGAGAATATGCCTCTTAGACAGGAAAGAAGGATAAAGATTTAATAAGATGCTTATTATCATGCATAGAAGCAATAATATTTGGGTCAATTTGCAGTGACTTGCTTTAATCATCTTCCTTGCTACTGAGTCTATAGACAGCATCTGCTGCCCATTTCATTTTTCCCTGCAGACATCAGTATGACATCTCTTCTTGAATTCCCCAAAATTGTCTGTGGAAAGTATTATCATACAGATCTGTGATATTTCTTTCCTTCCAACCCCCAGACATCACAGACCAGCCCATAACTTATTTAAATTATGTTCATATGCACAATTTTGAACTCACACCCAAGGCCAGGAAGGAACTTGTGAGAGGTCAGACCTACCCAGAAACCTCCATAAGCCTGTGCATTGATCAAAAGTAACATGTTCACAGGTATAAGGAAGTTGGGAAGACTAGAGTGATGCATTTGGGTTTAGTTTGCCACAAGTTGTGCAATTCCATAAAGTTCACATTCAGAAAAACACATTCAGTTTCATTAAGCTTCATTGGAGAATATAGGGGGTTTTTTAAAGAAGCTGGGATTTTTTTCGCCCTAATAATTCTTCTGCCTGTACCACAAAGATTTCCAGTGCTCCTTGACACAACAGATTTACCCTTCTGAGTTTTCCTGCACTAGTAGGAATCCTGGGCATTGTTTAAATATGACTTTATTTTGAAAAAGCAGCACTAAAATAAAATCACATAACACCAATATGATTTTTCTTCACTGTCTGTAGATCCAGATAATTGTTTGGGTTTTTTTTTTTTAACAAGCATCAGCCCTTAAAACTCAACTCAGGAGGCAAAAAGCAAGTTTAATCCCTTCCTTCTGAAGAATGCTTTGAGGCCTGGCTCACACCAGTCATATAATCATAGAATCACGGAATGGTTTGGGTTGGAAGGGACCTCAAAGATCATCGAGTTCCAGTCCCCCTGCCCTGGGCAGGGACACCTCCCACCAGAGCAGGTTGCTCAAGGCCCCATCCAGCCTGGCCTTGAACCCCTCCAGGAATGGGGCAGCCACGACCTCCTTGGGCAACCTGTTCCAGTGTCTCACCACCCTCAGAGTAAAAAATTTCTTCCTGAGATCATACCTATACAGTCATACCTATACAGTGTATTTTGGGTTTAGTACAGTTGTGACTGACCTGTAAATAATACCTACGTGTTTCAGCTGACCTGAAAGGTGGACAGTCATAAACATGTATTTATCTTAAGACCTGAGTGTGCATTTGAAGGTGGCTTTTTTTTTTTTTCTTTTTAATAGCAACGCTGGGTTATGCAATAGTATTTCTTCAGATTCCATAAATATACCCCTCAGAGTAAAAAATTTCTTCCTGAGATCATACCTATACAGTCATACCTATACAGTGTATTTTGGGTTTAGTACAGTTGTGACTGACCTGTAAATAATACCTACGTGTTTCAGCTGACCTGAAAGGTGGACAGTCATAAACATGTATTTATCTTAAGACCTGAGTGTGCATTTGAAGGTGACTTTTTTTTTT